TATGCACTCTCATTGGCTTTCAGTTTTTCTGGTCCCCTCATTCATGAATATCTTGCTTTTTGTCTTCCTCTTCCCAGTAGGGAGTGTTGAGGGATTGGTGGCCTGTTCCAATGGCTTGGCTGCCACTGAAGTGCCAACTCTCTCCCTTGCCTAATCCTTTTCCAAGGTGAGGTGTACACCAGATGTGGCGTGTAAGGGGTGCCATTGCCCACGAACATCCTGGTTTTGCTTTCTGCACTTCCTGATGCTGGCTTTGGATCTGGTGAGTTTCTCCTTCCATTTGTCTCCCACATCTGCTTCCTCCACCAACCCTGCCTCGGTGTACACACATTCCTCAGGTGTGCATATTGGAGCACATATCATTTTGCAAAGTGGTAATTTTATCATTTTTTCTCATTTATGTCATTTTGACATGTCATCTTTTATAAGCTAGTAAAGCTCATAAAGGAAAAACGGGACTTAATATTTTTTCTTTTGTGAAGTTTCAAAACAATGAGTTTATTTTTAGTGTCCACCACTGGACAGGGGTTTTTGTGTGATTTTATTTCCCAGCCACGAATGGACTGATGAGGACAGAAGTTGCCTAAGCCACCAGCGGCCTCACCCCATCTACCCCCACCCCCATCCAGGCCTCCCAGCTATGTGCTGGGGCACCTCCAGCACCACCCCAGGGGTGTGTCCCCCGCCCCCACTTCTGGCCTCCTGGTTGCTCCTGTACCTGGATCCACAATGCAGAGACACAGGGGATCTTAAAGATAGAGCAGAAGTGAAGATCAGTAAGGGGCCTTATTCCTTCTAAGTCCCCATCCCGAAGGGTAAAGTTACTATACTGAACAGTTTATTCAGGATAAACATATTTTGGGCTAGTCCTTGATTTTTATTTATTTCACATGGTTAAAGGTAATAGATTAATAACTACCACAAATTGTTATCTTCTAAGCTATGCTTGATTCTATTGTTATTGCTGATTGTATCACTTGGGCTAGTATTGTGATCGTTCTAATCACTCATCTTTAATGAAAATGAGATTGCCCCAGAATCACTAAAGACTCAAAACCTTAATACCAGCTATATCTGGAAGACACTTCTGAGAAGCAATCATTCCATAAGGGTTCTAAATACCAGAAACAAAGATACTTACAATAAACAATATCAAAGTATCAACCCAGGAATTAAACCAAGGACTGTACCAACAACAATAATAGAAATGAAAAGACATTTAAGCAAGATGCAGTCTTTAGCTCACCAAAGGCAAAATTTGGGACAATCAATGTGGAAAAGTCTGATAATCAACCACCTGGTCACCTTGAATGATACCACAGGAAGTAACAAAACAGATGAATGAGGCTTTAAATAAATTCAAAACGGAAATAATTTCCCAGATAACTACAGAGATGGTGAGCAGAATAAAAGACCTAATTAGAGTCTCCAGAAGAGAAACAGATAAAAAAATAAATGAGATGAGTGCAGGATCATGATGGAAGCCATGAATGCTTAGCAAAGGAAAGAAATGGAAACCATGAAACAGATTCAAGCCGATATCCAGTTGATTAAAAACTCTACTGAAAGTAAACACAGAAGACCGAGCCAATTTGAAGACAGAATATCAGATTTAGAATACAGGATGGTGGGCAGTGACCATGAAAAGAGAGATCTCTTAAAAATAGTAAGGAGCCACAAGAAATCAACCCAATAGATCCTAGATGATGTAAAGCAAAATATAAGATTGATTGGAGTCCATGAAAAGCAGGAGAAAGTACAAATGACATAAAAAACTGTCCACAGAATTAATGTTAGAAAACTTCTTAAACAGAAGAAAAGAATTTTACATACAGATAAGTGAGGCATATAGGACTCCAACTTGTCATGATCAAAAGTATCTACACTCAGACAGATAATAGTTAAGATCCCAGAAACCCAACAGAAGAACAAAATACTAAAAGCAGTTAGAGAAAAGAAACAAATCACATGCAAAGGAAAGCCCATCAGAATTACAGCAGAATTTTCAGCACAACCCTCAAGTCAAGGAGAGCCTGGAGTGAGGTATTTCAAGCCTTAAAAGAAAGCAACCTCCAACCTAGACTGATGTACCCTGCAAAGCTATCTTTCAAAATTGAGGGGGAAATAAGATACTTCCATGACAAAGAGCACCTGAAAAACTTCATGAATACCAAACTGTGCTGCTATAAACATGGGTACTTCTTGATTTCTTATACTTCAATTCTGGCAATGGTTTTAATTTTTATTCTTTAATATATCTTTTCAGCACACTTTTGTTGTCTATAAGGTTATTATTCTGGTTCTATGAGAACTTTTACTTTTTTGCCTTTGATTTATATGAAATTGGTTTTCCTATAACTTTGGAAGAACATGATTCAGGATAGCTTCCTGATGTTATCCAGCTTTCTCTCTTTTTTTTCCATGTTGAATTAAAAAATATAGCAGCTCTCTTTTTAAGTTTCCTTGTGTACATTTTCTTCTCCTTCACTTTCTTGTACTTACTCTACTATCCATACCTAGTGCATTTTTTATTCCATTCTTAGAAATTTTTCTTCTATAGGGCCTGTCTGGGAAGGCAGGCTGGTGGTGGCTTAGTTTTGTGACTGCTTAGAGGCCCATCTGCTTTAATTCCTGCAGACATTGTTGTGTGCTTTTGACACAGACAGCAACTATTATCAGCCACTTTAGGGTTCTTTCTTGTTTTTATATCCATCAGCTCTCTATTCCTTCACTCTACTTTTTCCTGTATTGACACTGGAGATCTTGTGGCAGTTGATGGTTTGTCTCCAGCAACCTTGTTTTGGGCTTCCTATTATAACTTGACATGCAGAGTGACAACTAACTAATCTCCAGAAATGACTCCAACATTTCCTCTGCTCTGTAAAATACATGCCAATTCACACATCAACAAGTGAAGACTATATCTCCTCCTGAATGTAAAGTGGCCCACTGAAGATGGAGACAGTGACATTCTGGGGAGTCCTTGGGTCCAGCCACCATTTTGTAAGAAGGCCAAGTGTTTTGTAAGAAGGCAATGCAAAGAAATGAAGTGCTCAGGGTAACAGCTCCTGCTGAATACCTAGACAACCAAGTGGGCAGCCATCTTGAATGTTCTGCCCCAGTATAGCCCCAGATAACTGTAGATTCTTCTGTGAGAGATGAGAACATGCTTGTTGTTTTATGATACAAGTTACCTCTTTGTTTTTAATCTATAAATAGGTAAATAAAACACCTAGTTTTATTATAAATATTGTCCATAGTTTTAAATTTTGTTACATACATGCTCCTCTTTTCCTGTGGAGATATGTAGTGATCTAAAAACAATGCTCTAGAGCCTGGCGTGGTGGCATATGCCTGTAATCCCAGCACTTGGGAGGCTGAGACAGGAGGATAACTATGAGTTTGAGACCAGCTTGGGCTACATAGTGAATTCCAGGTCAGTCTCAACTACATAGTAAGACCCTGTCTCAAAAAAGAATTAAAAGAATAAATAAAATAATGACCTGTAGTGCCCTTCACCCAAATCTCCCCAGAATCCACTCTGACATAAGATTATAAGGTTCATCTAATATAGACCTCAGTCAAGGCCCATGAAGCCATCAGGGAATGTAATTCGGAACCAGAACAGAGTGCAGGAAATTTATAACTTCCTTTATGAACTTTGGCCTTCTAATCAACACTATATGAAAATAGACTCATAGCTCCTCATTTTCTGCCTCTTTTCCCCACGGGAGTCCACCTTTCACACTGAGTAAGCTAACAATCCACATATTTAATATCCATTTCCTGGAAAAATTTGGCACCTTAATTTTCTAGATCTAGGTCATTAGGAGTATCAACTACAATGCCAAACAGAACATTTGTAAAAAGTGAGAGTGCGTCACGTGCATACTACAATAAGCTAATAACTTGGTTCATTTTCAACCCAATCCATTCAGTCAGTCAGAAAATATTTACTGAGTGCTTCTTATGACCCAAGAACTGTCCTCGCTACCAGGGCACTGGGTAGATAGATACCAGCAAACAAAGCAACCATCCCCACTCTTGAGGAAATTAAAGGGCAGTGGCTTATATTCTTTAAATGTTTGTTCAGTGGTCATCTTATTGTTACTTGAGCACACTCTTGGAGAGGTGCCAACCCCACTTCCATATCTGTATAACAGCCTTCACTACACTTCCTGAGGACTTCTGGTAAATATAATTTTATTCATGTAATTACATTTTTGGTGATGGCATACTGTCTCCTGAAAATTGGCTTCACCTCATTTTCTCCGTAATGCAATTCTTATTTCAGAGTCACAGAAATGTGATCAGCAGCTGGAGGTGGGGATAAAGTGTTAGGTTTTTTTTTCTTGCAAAAACCAGAAGTTAATCAAGTGAAGAATTTTAACATTTTCAATCACCATTGAATTATGTGAGTGGGTATTAAATTAGTAAGAAGGTGGGTGGGGTCTTTGCAGGTTTAAAGGGGGCAGCAAGAGGATAGAAAGGGGATACAGTAATAAAGGTTGTTAAAAGAAGAGAAGAGAAGAAATAAAAACTTATATTCTGTACACCAATCATTTAAGAAAATCTAGTATTTTAGAAGCTTCTCTCCTGTACTACCTGGAAATGTACACCAACAGGAAACTTTCTGCCTAACTCTGACTCTCTTTTTCCCATCTTTGGAACTGAGGGAATCTGTTTGTGGGTGGAAGACATTGTCATTGTTTATAATGTTCATAATCCTGCGTGGATGTGAATGACATATATTTAGAAATCAAAATAAAGCTTTCAGAAGATCTTCAATTTAAGGGAAACTAGTCTAGTCATTTGGGAACCACAAGAGCTTTTTAGGGAAAACCTGGCTCTGCAGTTGGAGGAAGTGTGGGTGTATGGGGTCCCAGGGACACCTGTGATGTCAGTCACCCCCAGCCTGGTGCTGATTGGCTCTGAAGAGCTGTGGCAGAGTTTAAATTCCTGTACCATTAGAGAAACATTCAAACTAGCAACACAAGAGTGGCTTCACTGAGATTCTTCTGTGAGAACTTCAACCTTATCTTTTGGAGACAAGTCTGTCAGAACTTAAGAGGGTAAGAAATTTTCATCATTTAATTTTCAATTACTTTTACTATGCTACTTGAAAATATCAAATGTGTAAACTTGAAAGGCATTATGACATGCAGAAAAAGAAGGGGAAGCTGATTCCCATTTGTGTTCCTGTCGTTAATGCCATAGCGAAAAATGATGTTAAAATGATATGTTAAGTAAGGAGAGTCAAATATTTTTCCTGGTAACGCTTTACTTAGATCTTTGCAGAAAGAGAGTTTGCTGAACAAGGGCATGATGGAAGGTTGGTTTGAAGTTTAGCTTTAATTAGCAAAACAAATAAAACTTCTACATTTATGCCCCTAAATATGAAGATATTGTGAAAGACTCAACTAGATTGGCAGGATTTTCAAAACACAGTCTTTTAAACTGAAAACTATTTATGTTATTCATCTAGAGGGCATTGAGTAGTGTTCATTGCAAACTGAACAAATAAGTGAGAGAAGATGCTAAGATCATGGACATGAGCCAAGGGTGTGATAATTACAATGCATATGTATTGGTTGGTTGGGTGTTCATGATAGCAGGATGCCTTGCTAGTTGCAATTCAAGGAATTCTGAGTGTAGTCATCTCTTAACATTTTTGCAGTGTAGAAGGTGTAGGTATGTGCATGACCCTATCCATTTGTATTTCTACCTTGTTTCTTCCACTTCTTCATTTATATCAGCAGTGTCTGTCTTCTATAACACAGAGTGGGAGTTATGGTCAGGCCAGCATTTGTGTGACATCTATAAGATTCCATGTGCTGTAACAATACTTCAAGTGAGCTTTCCTCTACCGGAGCAGTAACTTATGATTAACCAAACTTTGTTTAATCAAGGCTCATATAGACTGCCTTACTTTATCATTGTTGATTAAAGGCCTATGGATGAGAAATTTTCTACAGTGCAGCAGCCTGCTTCTTCATCACCAAATGCTGATGTGGATCAATGTGCTTTAGATGCTTTGAGCTCTTCACAATCCATATTTGGGATACATAGGAGTGGAACACTGGATTGATTAAAGGAACCCTCAAGACAGTTATAATAGGAAAGGTTGGAAACTCTTATTACTTCAGGTCTCTAAACTCCTGATAGCCTTCACATCCTGGCCAAATTCTACTTTATTTTTGAAGAATAATAATGAAACATTCAAGCAGATTTTGGTTAGTCGAGTTGTTGACAAATCTGCTTTTGTGAGACCAGCTTATTATTATTATTTTATTAGCTATTTATTATTATTATCATCATCACTATTAATTTCTATTTAGCTAGAATAGCACCTAGAACAGCATTTGGCATATTCACTGCTCTGAGAAAGTATTTGTTCACTGTTAGTAAATGAATATATTGTTCATTATTATTTGTGAAGGATAACAATAGTAAAACAAAAATAAGAAAATTGCAATATAAGGTACTTTCCAAAGGAGAGAGAAGGAGCCTATGATCCTTCAACTTTGATTTCCTTCATTTGGCCTATTTCTTTCATTTCAGTTTATGTAAGAGAAGATCTCGGTACTTTGTAAGTAAAATTTAATGTAGAGGAGCTTCCAGAAAAATTTTCCTCGTTTGGGAATCTGAAGAAGTTTCATTTGTACTTAAAACTTGGACCACACTTCCTCTCTTCAGATCCATTTGGATCTTTTCTACTCTGGGAAAGCAACTGAGAAAGGATATAATCTTTAATACACTAACCTTCAAGCAGGTGAAACTGAGATCAAGGTTGTTGATTTCTGTTCACACCTGTTGTTGCAAAATGGCAGCATGTAAAAATGACATCGACCAGTTAATGAAGAAGATCTGGGGCTTCTGGACTCCTAATTTTTCAGGCTCATAACTAATTTGTTAATTTATTATTTAGAATAAGACTGCTGCATGTTTGATTCTACTCTAACATAGGAGCTAAATGGTTTATAAAAGCTTGGTGCTCTCATTTGGAAATACATATCTTTATTTTTATAAAAATATTAATTGGAAATCTAACATAGCATTTCATATCTGTTTTTCTTTAATGCTTAAGAGTAAACTATATTCCTCGGGAGGTAACACTGGATCTCTTCAGGTGTTAGGGTGTGTTTTGTTTTTGTTTACCAGACTTCTACTTGGGAAATTATTGTTTTAGATCAGGGTGTTAAATGGTGTTGTTAGAAGCCTGAGCAAGCTGGCACATCTTCCTTAGATCACAATATTCCATGCCTAAGAAACTTGAGAATAGGAAGGATGCAGTTCCTTAGTAAAAAATATGCAGCACTGATTGGAGTAGAATAATTTGCAATGGCTTGCCCTTAGTTTTAAACTGTTAATAACACAGATGCTGAAGAAAGTACAAAAGAACTCAATCATCATTTATCTTTTATCAAGGCTGGATGTTTGCTAGTACTCAAAGCATCACGAGATCATCACACCATTGAAATTTCACTTGGACAATTAAAGTGGGGAATTGCCTAACTTCCATTTGGCCCATGATACTGAAATCACTCATAGGCAGTTATTTTGAGAATATCATATTTGGGGAAAATTTACTTTTTAAAAAAATGAATCTAAGAACTTAAAAATGTGTTATGAGAACTAAAAGGGAGTAATACCTTTTGATTTGCAGTTCAGCACTTTGTAGGCTCTTTTCAGTTAGCATTAGGCAAAGGGTTAAAAAAGAAATTAAAACATGAAGGCTATTATGTAGTATATTGAATTGGAATAAAGAAAGTGACAGGAATTTGAAAACTAGCTGCACTGAAGAGGGATCGTGCCCATAATATAAGAGCTTATATTTGGCCATTTGAGCTGCAAGAAAGTAGAAGTGAGAAAACATTTTAGCTTGTCTTAGGCTTTTTATTATTTTCTTGAATAAATTAGAAAAATGAGATTAGATTAGATGACTTCCTGTGCTCAATGGTCAGACAATATTCACCATATTCAGATATTCAGCAACATTTTCTTCTGAGAGCAAGGGTTAAAATCATGAGAAGGACTTTAAAATCATACATAATTCCATTCTCAGTGAATTGATTTATTATACTCAAAGGAGGTTTGTACAAGAGTATTTTAAATTTTTTTAGGTGTTACTAATACTAATATACAGCCAGGGTAGAGAAACTTTAGCTTACATCTCTTGTCACTAGTAGCACATATTTAATATTTAAAGAAAAAAGTCCACAAATGTGAAGCTTGAAACAAAGCTTAAGATAAACTTGCAGGACATTTTGCAAAATATGTGGAAGTCCACAGGACAACTACACGAGAGCAGACTTAAGGGCTCACTAGTGTAGAGTGGATGGCTGTCCTTTAAATCACTTTGATAACTTTTACATTAGCATCAGTAAGTCCACATTTAGACATAGAACACATTGGGTTGAAATCACTAATTCTGGAAGTGTGAAATGAAGCCACCTTCCAGAAAAATACAGTTCGATTTGTAGTGTTTCTCTCAGCGTGATTCACAAGTATATCTGAAACCTCTAATTTTCCCTTGATTCTTCTGAGCTGTGAGTGGCACTTAGGAGAGTTTAGCAAAACCATGTATAATGTATGACTACATGCATCACAGTAGATATTAAGAGCTTTCTGGAACCATAACATGAAGAAAAAGGTGCAAAAACAATCTATTTTGTCTTGACATTATTATGCAGTTATGAATATGGCTTAGAAGCCAGTGTGTGTGTGTGTGTGTGTGTGTGTGTGTGTGTGTGTACCTAACCTCTATCAATAAATAAATGCAATGTTGTAGGGGGATAGATTGCCTAGGTTTCACTTCCATGCCAAACTGTGGAGCTATCATCAAAATGAATGGCTCAAAGTTCCCCTATTTCCTTTACTTTTCTCCCATTTATCATATTTTATGTGTCATGAGGAAATGTTCATGGACAATCTCATTGGAAGTTTTCAGTTTGTGTCACAGCAGTGAGATTTTCATTTATTTTAAAAATAGCTTTATTGAGATACAACTTAAATACTGCACACTTCACATCTTTGAAGTATATGGCTTGAAAGCTTTTAGTATAATCACAAAAAGAACAATTTTTCCCACAATTAAGTTTAGAATTTTTGCATTCCCTGCAAGAGGAATACTGTACCTCCTCCTCCTCATTCTTCAGCCCTCACCTTTCCAAGCCCTGCACAACCAGTCTACTTTCCATCTCTGCACATTTGTCCATTCTAGACATGTCATATAACTGGAATCCTATGAATATACTCTTTTGTGCTTGGCTTCATTCATTTACCATAATGTTTCCAAAGATCCTCTACTTAGTTGCTCCTGTCAGTGCCTTATTCCTTTTTAGGGCTGAATAATATTCCATTGTACAGATAAAGCATATTTTCTTTATCCACCCATTCATCAGTTGGGAATTTGAATAAGTTTAATAGGAAGCAGCTTAAAATAAATACTTGTTGATTTCTTTAGTCTGGGGTAACAACACATCTATGTCCTTTTTTGCAGGTAGAGGCATCACACCCAATTATGAAGACCAGCATCTTGCTGATGCTTCTTTGGGGGCTATCCTGTGCTCTTCCAGTAAGTATCAGGATAAGGATTGTACATATAATACAAACCTTTTGTATATGTGCTGCCAAAGCGAGCACTAATATAAACCTTTTGTACTTACAACTACACAATTTTCATTGATTGCAATGCACAGGTGGCTGTGCATATTCCAGTCATGTGAGAATACAATGATACCTTGGTTTACAAATTTAACTTGTGTAAAACACAAAATTTGGGGGAAGATGGCTGCATTTGTGTTTGTGTGAGGAAGATGGCCATTGTTGTGTTTGTCACCTGAGGTGGAGTTTTCAAAAGGAAGTTAAAATTTGCCTAACACTTTAGTTTGTGAACCGACTTGTTTGCAAATGCAAGTGTTCACAGACTGAGATATTACTGTAGTCCTTCTCAGGAAGCTGTTTTCATTAAGATGTCCGAATTATTCTTCAATTACCTTTTGTATAGCTGTGATTCTTGTAAGCAGTGGTTCTCTGAGTGTCACCCAGGCTCACGGAGTCAGCGTGGATGAGGACTCTGTTAGCGTGGTAAATCCTGGGGTCCCACCTTAGACCTTAAGGCAGACTCACAACACTCTGGGATTTAGCAAGGCTGCCGCTAGTCCCGATGCAGATTCATGCTGTTCACTGCTGCTACTGGGTGTGTAAAATGGAAGCGACCGCTGCCTTCACCAGGTGTTGACCATGTGTACTAAATTTCCTAGGTGGCCAGGTATCAAAATACTGAATCCAAGAGCTCTGAGGAACGGAAGGTGAGTAGAAATACAACCTTTTGATGTGTGATGAGTGTAACATAATTGAGTTATTTCCAAACGTTGACATTGATAAAGCTATGAGTCTGTTCACAAACTAACCTACGCTTTTTCGTTCATATAAGAGAATAGTGCAACTCCAACTTAGCATAATTTGGCAAGGAAGCATTTTTTCTTTCAGCTTTCTTAGTTTAGTGTGTGTCCATAATAGTGCAATGGATGGACAGCAATGGACCAAGACTGTCCATGAGATGTTTGGACTTGAGCTGTTTAAACAGGAGATATTCCATAGCAGGAAGTCAAATCCTGGCAGGTGGTAAAAGAAAGACAGATGAGAGGATATGGGAGTTTGGGGGAATGATGGTAATGTTTGTTGGGTGTTGGACCCTCAATAACCCAGTAGCTATGAATTCACAAGAACCCGTGAAGTACAGCCTGAGTGCTTCACCTATATTAAACTTCCCACGTTCACAACAGGCTAAGAATCAGATGTTATATTCTATTCCCATTTTGCAGATGAGAAACGGAGGCACAGAGAGGAACCTAGCCTGTCTAAATGACATGGCTAGCAAGTGTTAGCACAGGACTTTGAATTTATGTCCGTGCAGCTGCAGAGTGTGCTTTCTTGCTGAGTTGACCCTTCCCTCTCAGGGAGTGGGCCCGGTCTAAGCTGTTTGTGGATTCTCAAGGTTGGCCCTTGCAATGAGGGTTAAAATCTGGAGCCAAGCTTGGCATATTTGTGTCTATTATTTTGTTTTCTGTCACATATGACACAGCTCGAGCCCAGAGCCTTTCATAGTAACCAAATAATGTCAGAGGTCTCCTTGAACCAGAAAGACATTGCAGAATATTCCATGCACTTTTGTCAGAGCAACTCCTAGGCTGGTTAATTTAAAAGCAGCCACTGTAGATCCTCTCATTGAACCAGGGACTCACAAACATGCCTTGTCCTTCAGTCAAGCTTTGAAACGAGAAAAATACCGAGGTCTTGCTCCGTCTCACCCATGAATTCCAAGTGATAGATGCTGGAGCACAGTCTGTCATTGTGCCGCCTGCAGCACACAGGCAGAGTCAGGTGCCTACAGGTCCCTCCTCTGAGCCCACAAACACGCTTCGGAGTGGCACGGGGAAGGCAGACGGGTGGCAGCTTCTCTGCCCCGCTCTGTGCCTGGGTTACACCCAGGACCTTACTCTGCTCCAGGAGGAAGGGAGAGAAAATGCAGGGCTGTGGGGAGAAGGCACAATTTCCTCAGGCATTTGCACAGTTCTTATGAGACTAAGGAAGGTGAGAAAAATCAGAACTGTAACTATGTAGTTAAATTTCAGATTTAGCATTTGTTTTTAATATCAGTGCCTTTTGATGACTCGAGAAAGGTTTTGTGGCTTTCTCGGTTCACTTTTGTCTGTTGAATTTTATAAAGTGGATATTTAGAAACAGACGATCTGTTGAGTTCATATTTCCTTGAATGGGGCTCAAGATGTCTCTATAGGCCTTAGCTGGTTCCTTCCATACAGCAGTCTTGCGGGTTGAGCATAGTAGGTGTTTATTTTTCTTAACTGATCAGTAAGAAACCAATGGGTGAAGTGATTCGCCCACTTTCATACAGAGAAAGGAGAAAGCAACACTTCCAGCTCTTCTGGGTCCCGGGGCTTTCTTGGAACATGGGGCTTCCAGAGCTTACACCATCATGTTGGTTTTGAGGACTGAAGCCAAAACCAACATGTTAACTGAGACTTGAATGTGGACTCTGAGCTCTGACGCTATTATCCTGTTATATTTCCTCTAAGTCGTGTGAATAGCCAATTTCAATGAAAGTATACAAGTATGTTTGTATGTGTCATATCATATCTTTTACATTCCATGACCTTTTCGGGTTTAGTAGTCATCACACTTTCAATGTTCAGTGATTTTATTGTAAGACTTCACTGTAGCTCAGGGAGAGGTAAAATAAATAGCAAAAAGATTTGAAATCACCTAAGGGTTTTCTACATATTTGCATTGACATAATCTGTCTATGAAAAAGTCATGTTTTTCTTCTTCTTTTTTTTTTACAGGGTCATTTGGCTCTCTCACCAGCACCACCTGTGGTAACTTTGCATTTGTTTTTGTCATAAATTGACTTTGATACTCTTCTCAGCACTGTTTCCCACTTTGGAAGTAGTGCATACAAACTCAAGCAATTGATGTGCATCACATTCTTTTCTTTCCTGAGGAAAATAAACATTTTTTTTTTCTGTTTCAGGAGAACAGTGAGTCATCAGAAGAAAGTAAAGTTAGCTCAGAAGAACAGGTAATTAAGCTTTCTTAACTTTTCTGGCTATTGAGGCATTGAAGGAAATGATGGCAGATTAAATTACCTGGCAACATTTCTAAATATAATATTTTCTAACCATTGGTTCTGCTTCCTAAACAGTCCCATAAAGTAAGAAGGGGAAAATGAGGGAGCAGAGTTGAGACGTGGACATGCTGCTCATTCTATTTTTGTCATCTGAGACATTGTAAACACACACACACACACACACACATACACACACACAGGAGGGCATAGACTATCAGACAAGTCACAGCTCACTCAGCAGCTTTCTATAATGGTACTTTTAGAACGGGATCAATGTAGTTCAGGCAATAAAAATTATTCTGCCCACATGAAGTGCCTGCTGGCCCTGGAGAGCACCTCCAGGTCAAGAATACCATGGAAGAGGAGAGAAGCATGATGACTTCAGTATCTCTTTAAAATAACTCCCTCTGTGGGCATGAGGTGAGAAAGGCAGATCTAGCTTAAGTGTACCTGTTAACTAAAAAAAGATTAACCTAACTTTTGTAAGAAGACTATACTATATATCATTATTTTCTTACTTTTTTATGGGGGGTATTTAATTAAACCCAGGGCCTCATGCATGCTAAGCACATCCTCTGCCCCTGAGCCCTACCCACCCCCCTGTCCTACCTCTTTGACCAATCTCAACCCTGTGGGGGCTCCAGGGATTCCTGGGTGTGGTTTCTCCTGGAACCTTTCTTTGGCTCATGTTGGATTCTACACTGAGCCAGAGCTAGAAGATGAAGTATTAGCTCCTTTATCCCTATTTTCTAAAGTCTTATCAGGAGAACAGTGTAGATATTTTAAAACATGGAATTGGGGAACTGCTTTTCTTTGAAGACTTTGTGATTTGTGACCTTGACTTTCTCCAAGTTTTCAGGTGAGGGCAATAACTCCTGCTTGAGCAGGGAGTGAGTGTGTTCAATGAGGGAGATGGGTGATGTGAGCCTCTATGGAACCTCTCTTTGTTCCTGTAGAAGCTCTGGCATAGATGTTATTGAGCAGTACCACTGACTTTGGGTCAGAGGAGGCACACAGGGAGAAGAGCAGAAAGAGCCTGGAAGGGTGCTAGAATATCAGCTCCAGGAAAACTAACCCTGTCTGTTTACCCCAAACTCCAGGCAAATGAAGACCCTAGGGACAGCACGGAGACAGAGGAGGACCTTACCTCTGATGATGGTCACTATGTTTCTAGACCCACTGGTGGCCTCTCTAGGAGTGCAGGGAAAGAAGGCGATGATAAAGAAGATGATGAGGATGACAGTGGAGATGACACCTTCGGTGATGAGGACAATGACTTGGGGCCCAAACAGGGTCTAGAGGGTGGCATCTCCAGACTGGGCAATGAGGAAGATTCTGCTGATACCACGCAGTCCAGGGAAGATAGTGCCTCCCGAGAGGACAGCATCCAATATCCGGCCAGTGACAGCAGGGACCTTGATGGTGAGGATGGGGTGGACAGTGAGAGCGATGAGCACTGGTTGGGAGGTGGCAGTGAGGGGGACAGCAGCCATGGGGACGGCTCGGAGTTCCATGAGGACGGAGTGCAGAATGACCACCCAGACAGCACTAGAAGTGAGGGAGGCAGCTCCAGAATGGACAGTGCCGGTGTCAAATCCAAGGAGTCCCAAGGGGACAGCAAGCAGGAAGGCACTCAGGACTCAGGTGACAAACAGTCAGTGGAGTCTCCCAGCAGGAAGTTTTTCAGAAAGTCTCATATTTCTGAGGAAGATGACAGAGGTGACCTGGAGGATAGTGACACAATAGAAGACCTCAGGAGTGATTCCACAGAAAACACCAACTCCCAAGAAGATGGCCCAGACCAGTCCAGGGAAGATAGCAAGAGTGACTCTCAAGAGGACAGCAGTGAGAGCCAGTCCCAAGAGGATGTTGAGGACCTGCCAGACCCCAGCAGTGAGTCCAGTCAGGAGGTGGACCCGTCACCCCAGGAGAGTAGTAGCGAGTCCCAGGAGGAGGTGATGGGTGAGTCCAGGGGTGACAACCCAGATGCTACCAGCCAGGAAGACAGCAATTCCAGTGAGGAAGACATCTTGAATACCTTCTCCAGCTCAGAGAGTGAATCCAGAGAGCAGCAAGCGGACAGTGAATCCAATGAGAGCCTCAGGTTCTCAGAAGAAAGTCGGGAGTCCCCTGAGGATGACAACAGCTCCAGCCAGGAGGGCCTGCAGTCCCAGAGCACATCCACAGAGAGCCAGAGTCAAGAGAGCCGCTCTGGGGAAGATGGTGACAGCGATTCTCAGGACAGCAGCAGGTCAAAAGAAGATAGCAACTCCACAGAGAGTACATCCAGTAGTGAGGAGGATATTCATCCCAAAAACATGGAGTCTGAGAGTAGAAAACTGACAATGGACTCATATCACAACAAACCCATGGGGGACCAAGATGACAATGACTGTCAGGATGGCTACTAACATGTGCTGTCCTAAGAAGTGGCTCTCACAGAAGGGGATCCTGGGCTTCAAGAATAGGGAAATCGCCATAACTGTAATTTATCGATATTTTAATCAGAAAGACCAGTCAGTACTTTCTGCAAGAATTTACTAAACGTCACAGTGGTTCCAAGAGTGGCACTGTTTCATAAAAGTTGAAATAACATAGAGTGACACCAGGACACACTCGGTGAGCTTGGAGGGCAGGAGAGATTTGCTCACAGCCCTGCACCTGAGATGACTCTGAGCTCATTGACCTGACAGGTGGTTATTGGGGTTCTGTGATGCACCAGGCACTGTATGAATTGCTAGGGATACAGCAAAACCTCAGACTCACTTCTTGCTCCTGAGGAGCTTCTAGAGAGATGCAGAGAGTTAAAGAGGGGTGTGTAGGAGGGCAGCAGAAATCGTCATGTGGTGAAGGCCTTTGGGGAGATATGAACAAAGCGTATGGGAGCACAGAAAGGGGTGACCAACCTTGCCTAGAAAATTGGTGAGACACAGTGGAGAAACCATTGGAAGTGGAAGGCAGTGTGGGATTTCTCCCCGAAAACAAGAGAAATTCTATTTACTCTGGGGATTAAATGATAGTAAATCTTATGTGATTAAATATTTAGTTTATGAAAGCACTTTCAAACTAGCACAATGAGGTGTTTTGGATAAACAAAACTCTTTTTTTTCAACTAATTTATCTTACTTAGTGTTTTTTTATGGGACTCCCGTGACCACACCCTGACTGGTGATGGTAGGAGGACTAGAGAGGAGAGCAGGGAAGCAAATTCCCCTTTACCTACAGAAATTTTAGCATCATTTTTTCTAAAATCAGTTTATGTGCAATGCTAGAAAATAATATCCTCTGGGTTCTCTTCATACATTGCAAAATTCTGTATATAAAATTCAATTGATTTTTGTTAAATACCATTTGAAATGTTACCTCCCCATAAAATATTTGTTTTGTAATAAAGATAATAATACCCAGAAGAAATTTGTGCTTATCTGTTATAGTGGTACTGATTATTAGGCTGTATTTATGATAAATAACTCTTTCTTTAAAACATCATCAGATAGTTTATTAGCTTTCTCCCAGCAAAATGGAAGATATTTGTAACTCAGGTAGCATTTTGAAAAAAAAATTACCTTATGCATTTCTCATGATATTTCACTAAATATGCCAGTTATGGGTGAGGAAAAAAGTCTACTTTAACTTTTGTTTGAGACCACATCAATAATTTGTTATATTTGAATTTAACACTAGTTTTTGCTAGTCTCAGATTTTGTGTATACCTAGGAGCTACAGGGAAATATATTCTTCATATTTTTATTTGTATGAAGGACTTCACCTCATCAGTTTTTAGCAGATGTGCTTTTACCCTTACTTCCACCACGGCACATCAGAATTCTCCCAGTTTCCTTAAGAGAAGCAGAGACCTCCTAGGCCTCAGTCTGATCCTCCTCATTCCTCATCTGGCTCTGCTTCCTCACAAGGTCAGAGCTCTGTTTACTTGAGATTTAAAATAAAGAGTGTGTGTGTGTGTGTGTGTGTGTGTGTGTGTTTTGTGTGTGTGTAGACTTCCCCTCTGAGATTTTTAATTTACTGGTAGATCTGGAGTGAGACCCAGAATTCTGTATTTTTAGAAGGACTCAGGAGGCCCTGACAGAGCCCATCTGTGTATGTGCGGTTTTATTTGATGGCTCCTTGTGTTTCCACTAACCTCTAGGTTTCTGCAAACTCACACCTCTTTTGTGAGGCAAACTGATGACGTTTGCACATCTTGAAGCACAGGTGTCCAGATTCTTACCGCACAGATGTCCCATCTTACAACAGGAGAGTGGCTGAGACCAAAACTGGACCCAGTGCAGTCAGTATGGTCTAGCTGGCAAGGACCAGAGAGGCACATCTCTAAGGCTCTGTCTGAATAGGAGCCATGATGGCTGGAGATCCAATATGACTCTTCCTTTCTGGAAATCTAGACATTTAGGAGAAGAGAGGGCAGAAGTGTTAGAACAAGAACAGAAATGAATATACAAAAAGGCAGACATGGAGAGAGGGCTACACTCCATTGTATGAAGCACAAACTGAAAATCATTGCCCTCCTGATCCTGAGGGGCAAGGTGATAATCTTCTTGTCCCATGCTCATATCCTTACTCTCCTATTGACTACCACGCCTTCCAGATTCCTGTTTTTTCTTTCCCTTAAGTGCCGCTGTGTCCTCACAATACACTCACCCAAGTTGAGGTAACCCGAGTGAGTCTTCCATCTTTGTAATCCAAACTCTAATGAATCCCAGACTCATGGACTAATGTGTTGTTAGCCAGTGTTTCTAAGTCTTGTACCTCCTTAATCAGGTTAACTTGAAACTTTTGAAAGAGAGAAATAAGGAGAATCTCAGCCATGTTTATGACAGAAATCCTGAAAGTCAGTAGGAAGGTGGGTTTTCTTTTAAGTTCAATCAAGCCATTTTATGTACCAGGTATAGACATTGATGTAGCTTGAAAATGAAAGTGGTCTACAAATGTGACTTAAGGAAAAGCTGGCTGACCTTGGTCTTCAGCTTTAAATATTCAGAAGTTTCTTCCTGCAGCTTCTCATTGAAGTAAGTCTATGGATCCATTTGGGAAGACAAATCATAATCAGTAGCCAATTTTTAATTATAACAAGAAAGAATAAGAATGAGAGGCTATACGGGGAGCACAGTGGAACAGAGGGAACCATGCAACATGAATGTTTAATAGCATTGGATATAAATAAATATCTGTGATGCTCTACTTGAAACCTTACAGATAGAGCAGAAATAGTAGAAGCTTGGCTCCCTTTCCCCTGGGAAGTTATCTAAAGTGCCATGATCTACTATTTTCCTAAGCTTACCAGGGCAAATCCTGGTTCATTCATACAAGAATGAGTGAAATCTGACCTATATGTCACCAGAACAGAGACAAAAGGTACTCGCTGTGATAGATGACCAGAGTGCGGATATGGCTGGGACAGAAGTTCTTCATGGAGGGAAGTTATTAGCCTGTGAAGGCATGGGGAGGTGTGGGGCAAGTGAGATAGATCCAATTGAGAGCCAACACTAAGCAGCAGGAATACAGAAGTGAATTATGGGATTGATTATGACATGTTAAGGTTTCATTTAAGAAACATGGTGTCCTGAAGCATTGCAAAGAGAGGAATAATAAGAGGAAAGACTGAAAATATGGGTTGGATCCAGTGCGAAGGCCTCTTAATGCCAGAGTAAGAGGGATGATCTTTGTATTTATTGAATGCTAGCTTCTCACACAGGATATATTATACATAGCACAAATGTCTTTAAAATGGATCCTATAAACTCTCCATGACTTTCAGATACATTTGTAAAAAATAAAGTAGAAGAAATAAAGTATAGAAGAGATAAGTCAATCATTCTAGTTCAAAATCCAAGAAATGGCAGAGAACAGATTCCACTTCAGCTCAATGATAAAACACTGAAAGCATTAAGCATTGGAGTAGCATTCACAAATAGGGCCTTATCATCCCAAAATATGTCAGGTTAGCAACAAAGAAAATCCCAGGCCCTGATGGCTTAACTGCTTAACTCTACAAAACAGTTAGAGAAGAACTATCACCACTATTCTTTACACTCTTCAATGAAATTGAAAGGGAAGCAATACTTCCAAATTCATTCCTGGAAGCAAGTGTTACTTTGACTCCGAAACCAGGGAAAGACCCAATCAAAAAAGAGAACTACAGGCCAATCTCACTAATGAACATAGATGCAAAGCTCCTAATAAGATACTGACAAACAGAATACAGAAGATCATCGAGATGATCATCAAGTCAGATTTATCCCAGGGATGCAAGAATGGTTCAACATATGTAAATCAATACATGCAATACACTGTATTAACAAAGACAAGGACAAAAACCATACAATCATCTCAATAGATGTAGAAAAGGCATTTGAAAAAATTCAGCACCCATTCATGATAAAAACCCTGCAGAAAATTGGAATAGATGGTCTATCTCAACTTAATAAAGGCTATCTATGGAAAAATCAACAGCCAACATCATATTAAATGGCCACAAACTGAAAACCTTCACACTAAAATCAGTAACAAGACAAGGATGTCCATTATCACCACTCCTGTTCAATATAGTTCTGGAAACATCAGCCAAAGCAATTAGACAAGAGAAAGAAATAAAAGGATTAAAGATAGGAAAGGAAGAAGTTAAAATGTCATTATTTGCTGATGATATGGTACTCTACATAGAAGACCCCCAAAAACTTGGCCAAAAGACTTCTAGACTTAATTGTCAGATTCAGTAGGTCAACACTCAAAAATCAAAATATAAGTCAGGGAAATGCTATATTTTCTCCTTGTTCTCAACACCTAAAAAACCCCAAATCTAACAGCTTGTATTCTTTCCTAGTGTCATTATTTTGGGTTAATCACATTCAGTGGAGGAATAAATTTGTTCTTACTTCTGCCAAAGTTTCCCCAGAAAGACATATATCAGAGTGCCAATGATTACCACTGAAGATTTTTTAAAAATGCCACAATGATGCTGGAGAAACACTAGTGAACAGAAACCCATAAAAGGAAGTCTGTGCTAAAGTTCTTAATAAGCATGGCTTAATGTGCAGTGACCTCACTCAGCCCTGAAGCTACTGGCACTGCCACACAGCACTCAACACTGTGGCTGGAACTAATGATCCCCCTGGAAATAATTCCAGATACTGCCAATCAGACAAGTAAACTCAAATCTCCTAGAAAGCTGACCACCATGGTCACTGCTACTAGGGATGGTTCTCCACGGGCTCTGCTTCATTGTATAACTAATTCTTAATTCTGAATTCAAAGCAGAGCCTGTACTAAGTATCTAGGCTCCAGTTGCAAGGAAACCTAGAAAGTATCTTGCATTTTTAGCTTCTTGATCCCAAGGCACATTTTGTCTCCCACCAAAACACATAAGGGTGTAGTATATACCATATGTAACAATAAGGTATAGGGGCTGGGGATTTAGCTCAGTGGTGTCATGCTTGCCTCGCAAGCATCTGAGTTTGATCCCCAATACAAAAACCAAAAAAACAAGGTTCAGGTGCTGTATGTGCAAAGTGATTCAAAAAGTTCCACTGAT